TACAACGTTAAGCCTGGCTCGCCTCAGACTACAGGATATTTGGCCGATTAGAGTTCAGATTCCTCCTACCCGACAATCGCAGGGGCGTTCCGAGGCTGCTCTAAACCGTTAATGTTCCCAGATTATCTGTAGTGTGAGCAGTAAAAAGATTTAAGTTTAACGTCCCCGATCTGCTCAGAGAGCGTCGCCAAAATTTTACATCAAGCATGTTTGATATTTAGGATTTAAAATCTTGACTATTCTGTAATTAAAGGGGGGGCATCGGGACCCTCAGCTGATTTCTGTCCATGGGCCCATGAAAGATTCCTACGGCCCTGGCCCTCCTGAAATCCTCCAGATGTGTTGTGTTAAACTGACACGGGGATGAAAAGTTTGCTTCTCTACCTGTTTGGAGAAGACGGCGATGTCCTCGTTGAAGGAGTCCGAGGAGCAGACGTCTCCTCCCGCCACACCGCTCTCTCTCGGCGTGCAGGTCGCAAGTTCACATTTTTCAAAAATCAGTGCGAGTAGAGGGAATAGAGGATGTCTGCAGGAGAGAGGGAGGAAGGAGGAGAGGAAGAGGAGGAGGAAGAGGAGGAGGAAGAGGAGGAGGAGAGGAGAGAGGGGGAGGAGGAGGAGGAGGAGGAGGAGGAAGAGGAGGAGAAGAGAGGAGGGAAGAGGAAGAGGAAAGAGGAGGAGGAAGAGGAGGAGGAGAGGAGAGAGGGAGGAGGAGGAAGAGGAGAGGAAGAGGAGGAGGAAGAGGAGGAGGAGAGGAGAGAGGGAGGAGAGGAGGAGGAAGAGGAGGAGGAGGAGGAGGAGGAGGAGGAGGGAGGAGGAGGAAGAGGAGGAGAGAGAGAGAGGGAGGAGGAGGAAGAGGAGGAAGGAGATGGAGGAGGAGAGGAGAGAGGAGAGGAGAGGAGGAAGAGGAGGAGAAGAGGAGGAGGAGGAGGAAGAGGAGGAGGAAGAGGAGGAGGAGAGGAGAGAAGGGAGGAGGAGAGGAAGAGAAGAGGAGGAGGAAGAGGAGGAGGAGGGGAGAGAGGAAGAGGGAGAAGAGGAGAGAGGAGGAGGAGGAAGAGGAGAAGAGGAAGAGGAAAAAAGAGGAGGAGGAGGAAGAAGAGGAGGAGAGAAGAGGAGGAGGAGGAGGAGGAAGAGGAGGAAGAGAGAGGAGGAGGAGGAAGAGGAGGAGGAGGAAGAGGAGGAAGAGGAGGAAGAGGAGGAGGAGGAGGAGGAGGAGGAGGAGGAAAGGAGGAGAGAGAGAGGAGGAGGAGCAGGAGAGGAGGAGGGAGGAGGAGGAGGAAGAGGAGGAGGAGGAAGAGGAGGAGGAGGAGGAGGAGGAAGAGGAGGAGGAGGAGGAGAAGAGGAGGAGGAGGAAGAGGAGGAGGAAGAGGAAGAGGAAGAAGAGGAGGAGGAGGAAGAGGAGGAGGAGGAGGAGGAGGAGGAAGAGGAGGAGGAGGAAGAGGAGGAGGAGGAGGAAGAGGAGGAGGAGGAGGAGGAGGAGGAGGAGGAGGAGGAGGAGGAAGAGGAGGAGGAGGAGGAGGAGGAGGAGGAGGAAGAGGAGGAGGAGGAAGAGGAGGAGGAGGAAGAGGAGGAGGAGGAGGAAGAGGAGGAGGAGGAGAGGAGAAGAGGAGGAGGAGGAAGAGGAGGAGGAGGAGGAAGAGGAGGAGGAGGAGGAGGGGAGGAGGAGGAAGAGGAGGAAGAGAGGAGGAGGAGGAGGAGGAGGAGGAGTCAGTTCAGACTGTAAGTTCCTTGCTGCCTCAAAAAGAAATGTTTCAGTGACTGTAGATTTACAATAATCTTCTTTTTTAGAGAGAAACGAGATTTTGACAATTTGTCAAACAAATTAAAGTGAAAGAAAAACAGTGAAAGTTAGAGATCACATTTCTGTCCTTCATGCAGAACTTTCTGTTAGGCTGTTGCTGCTTTTGTTAAAGTAAAGACGCTGACTGAGCTTCCTTTATTTCTGTCACTTTGTCAACCTCACATGAAGATGATGTTGGCTCGGCTCGGCTCGGCTCGGCTCGGAATGGGAGAGTTAAGAGCGGCTGATATCAAACATGAAACTAACCAAAGGAACTACTTTTTACAGCGGAGGGATACTGTTCTAGTGTTCCCCCTCTTCAGTTTTATCTTCTTTTTGTTGTTGTTTTTTTAAGTCATCTCACCCGTAAATGTCGTCTTTGTCCCTCTTGACGGCGTCCCCGGATGAGGGAGTCATGCCGCTGCTGCCAGTGTGGGCGGACTGGGCGTACTGGTGTGAGGGGTATGGACTGCCTCCTGCAGCGGCGGCTGCGGCAGCCAGGTGCACAGCCTGTAAAGAGCGGGCGGCGGCGGCGGCGGCGGCGGCGTGGTGGTGATGCTGGTGGTGTGGGTCTCCATACATACCCCCACCCATGCCGTCCAGCCCGTAGTGGGCCAGGTCTTCATACTGTAACACAGAGATAAGAGACGTGTGACCTTTGACCTCCTGAGCTGTGATCAAACAAACTACATTCAGGGCGTGTTTGGGGATCAGTGCCTTGCTCAAGGGCTCCTCGGCAGAATTCAGGAAGTGACCTGGCATCTCTCCAGCAACCAGACTAACTTCCACATTTTTTTGGTATGCACCGGGAATTAAACATGCGACCCAAATTACCGCCCCAAAAAATATCTCAAAACAATCAAAACCAAAACTCGATTCAAACGCACGGTCTGTAAATGCCACCACCAGGGGGCGCTCAATCAAAACAATAACAAAAAGATGACGTTGGGAATCATGGGAGTGATTCTCTCTGCTACTCCACCCACACACCCCCAATGAAAATGACCTCCGAGTTGACCGTAGTCATGACGACGGTGAAACCGACCTGAGGAAGAGAATCTGTTTACAGACGAGCTGATGTATCAGAGTTTAATCTACATCAGGGATGGGCAACCTTGGTCACAGCAAGGGCCACATTCATTTAATCCTCACTGCCAGGGGGCCAAATGTTTTCTTCATGTTTTCAATCAATTCATGTGTAAAAAATTAACCTGAGGGCCACATTTAAGGTTGATGGGGGCCGCATGTGGCCCCCAGGCCCTCAGTTGCCCACCCCTGATCTACATGATGTTTTTATCACAGCAGCTTTCTGGAGCAGCTCACGCTTCATTATGTAACGATCTTTGGCGTGACATCCTGTGTTTCCACGGCAACAATTAACATATCGTGGCAAGACACGTGACGTTACATCGATACAATGAAGGATTTCTCTTGCTCTGATAACTGTTGGAAATATTTGAGGTAATGTAAAACAACCAAATAATATAACATATCATTTAGTCCATTTTTAATTCATTTAAATATTTTAGTGAAATTATTCAACAAATGACGTCTTTGATTAAACGTCACCAGGAGAATAAAAACAGCTCAAATGTCTGAAAATCTCAGAAGAAGCAAAGTTTACGGATTTTACTGCAAAACCAAGAAGAGTTTAAAACCGTTTAAGAAAAACAAGATGATCAAAACATTTGATCGAATAAATACTTAAAAAGTAAAAAACAAAATCTAATCTAGAAACGAGTCAGTTAGACTTTAGCTACAGATGTTCCTTTAATGACGTCACCATCTTTGTTTTAAACATTAAACTTCTGTGTGTTTTTACCTCGGTTGAGTATTTGTTATTTTTCGCTCCTTATATGGGGTTGATTCGATTTCCGGTCATTTGCAGTGGGCGTGGTTTACCTTATTATTACCTGTGTATTTGAGTCTGTTTGAATATTTGCTGTTGACGTCATCCTTTTGGTCGTAATCGTCATCATCCTTTGGACTCTTTGTTTACTAACAAACTTATCTGGACTTAAGTCAGGTTCAGGTCTGTGTGGCTTTCTCAGATCTAAGCCGCCATGACACTTTTTATATTCATCCTTTATTTCAGGTGACTCTCCCTCACACTGACGTCACGTGGCTTTGACCCACGCGCTTCTCCTTACACGCTGTTTGGGGGTTTTAGCAGCAGAAACATTTCTTTATCCCAAACTCTCAGGACACTTTCCCCCTCAATAATGTTTCTCTGTTCTGAACTCTTCAGATGTTTTCAGAGGACAAACATCCTGTTCTGTACACTATAATACAAGGTGCATTCAAGGGGAGTGGGGTATTACAGTATCGAATAAAATGTGTTATTATTTCATTATGAAGTGTCCTCGTGCACATGTTGCTGCTTTTATATAGACACTTCAACAAGTTATAAATATAAATAAACAAGTTATAAATATAAATAAACAAGTTATAAATATAAGTAAACAAGTTATAAATATAAATAAACAAGTTATAAATATAAATATCTAAATAAACAACTTAAACACATGCACGCGCTAAAACTCTCATTTAAGGCTGTAACTCTGATTAATTTTATTTATGACAACTGTTCACGTGACTACGTGAATTTAACACACCTGTGTGTGTGTGTGTGTGTGTGTGTGTGTGTGAACGCGTATTTCGCTCAGCTCACAGTAAAGTGTTTTTAAAGTGTTTTTAAAGTGTTTTTAAAGTGTTTTTAAAGTGTTTTTAAAGTGTGTCTCGGGGTTTTTTATTTATTCTATAATAAAGTTATCTCAAATTAAATTTCATTAAAAATGGCGGCAAACATTTTTTATGAAGAAATGAGTCAGCACGAGACAATAAATCTGATTTAATCCTTTAAGGTTACAACAAAAAAATCACTTAGTATTTTAATAGCTTTAGTTTATATTATAATATATATAAACAATATTTAAATATATGCAGGGTATTTTGTTACGTACTTATAGTTTTAAATGTGACCTTTCAAAATAAAACTTTTTGCAAAAGCAAAAAAGTTTTCTGTAAATGTAATTCTGTCTGTTAAAATAACTTCAGTATGTTAACAAGTGTTTTATTATTATCAGCCTTTTATTTGAATAACTATCAGGAAGTCTTCTTCAGATGTAGTTTTTTGTTTTGTCGATTTTGTAGTTAGAGAAGTAGTTAACAAAAGCATACAGGTGTGTGTGTGTGTGTGTGTGTGTGTGTGTGTGTGTGTGTGTGTGTGTGTGTGTGTGTGTGTCCGGTCAGTGATCAATAAAACGCTGTTTAAACTTTGACCTCGCTTAAAAGGCCTCGTGCAAGAACAGAACTGTTTTAATACTTATTTATTTATTTATTTTATTTTGTAACTTAATTATTAATTTAATCTTTTTAAATCGTCTCAATCGGAGCAGAAAAATATAGAGTTCATTTTTACCGTTTTATCAACTCCAGAAAATGTTTTTATTCTCAGCCGCTGAAGCACGAAGGACACACACACACACACACACACACACACACACACACACACACACACACACACACACACACACAGTGTGACTAATGACGTGTTTATTCGGTTTATAAAGTGTGAAGTGTTGCTCACTCTGACTCCAGCTCAGAGTTTGGATCTAATCTCCACTTTGTTTTAAATTAATAAAACTTAAAGTTTAAAATTAAATTTGAAGAAAGTTTTTAAATTTATTTAAAAGCATCAAAAGGTTTTTTTTTTAAACTACAGAATCTAAAACTGAAAACTCATCTCAGACTTTAAATCTGCATTTAACAAAATAAAGTGTTGAAACCACAGACTGTAACTAATCATCAAGTTATCAGTTTTATATTAATAAATAAAGTTCAGTGTGTTGATTTGTAAATGTGTGATAATAAATATAAACTTGAGGATAAATGCTCCACGACAAAAATATTTAATTATGTTTCTATTTTTTTAGCCCCAGGAGAAATGTTTCATAATTAATCTGAGAGATGAAAACGTTTCTTCTGTAAATGTCTTTCTTAAAAGGTGAAAACTTGAGAATTATAGTTCTTAAATAAGTGAGAATTAATTCTCTTTAATGACTTTAAATCATGTTTTTAGTCACTTTAAAGAAGCTGGACTCCCCGGTTCTTCTTAAATAAAAAAAACACGCTGACTTTATTCATCCCGATTCCCTCTCCTTTCATTAAACTTGTTCCCCTGAAGTCACAGATTTATAAAAACAATCCTTCCTCTGCGCTCCAATAAAAAGTTGATTTTTACGCACCCGTTGCGCCATCGGCTCCGTCTCTGCGCCCGGACTCCAGGTGACTCCTGCGGGGCAAAACACACATCCAACTCCCCGGTACAGGAGCGCTAATCACTTAATCCGCGTGTCCAAAAAAGAAACGCGCACTAAACACGCAGAGAGAAGCAGCAGGTCCCCCCCCCCCCACCCCGCAGGATCCACTCCGCTACAATCCGCCTCCAGCAGCAACCCGGGCAGACCCTGTCCCTCCAGCTCCCGGCCTCCGAGCAGCTCCAACAAGCAGCAGAGAAGCAGCGCTCAGTCAGCAGGCCCGATCCGATCAGGTTACATCCAAACCCGGGGATTCAAGTGACGCGGAGCCGCCCGCTGCGCTCTGAGTCGGGCCGTGCGCCGCTTCTTCTGCGCCGAGGTGCGTTCAAATCCCCATCGCAGCTCCGGGCCGAGCGGCTTCCTCCTCCCTCCAGAGCAGGCCGTCCTGGTGTGTGTGTGTGTGTGTGTGGGGGGGGGGGGGGGAGGGAGGGAGGAATAGTTTCTTTCTTCTCCCCCCTTAAAGGAACAGAGACTCAATGCGCACCACGGAGGGAATGTTTTGAAGGGGACACATTCTGTGATTTTATTGTAACTATCAGAAGGGCTCTGATATGTTTACATGAAAAGTTTGTAACTCCTCCGATCTTTAAACACAACACTGACTCAGCACAGCGACAAAATGTTGTTCACAGAAAACCGGAGCACACCTGGATCCCCGGCGCAGACCTGCAGGGGGCCCTGAAGGGGGCCCTCCAGGGGGCCCTGAAGGCAGGGCAGGTTTACAACGTGGCAATTAGTTTGTGGTCATTTAATCACCTGCAAATGTGGTCGTTAGTGCTGATGAGAAGGACCCCAAGCTCCCCCCCCATAGGCTGCATGTCTGAGTGGGAGGAGCCAACGTGACATTTGAGGAGGTTTTGGAGTTTGTCATTTTCGCCTTCTGTCCCGTTTCCAATCTTTACCCCGCCGTCAGGTTACAGAGGGCGGTGGGGAAATCTCCACCTAACGAGCCTTCATGACCCCGATTCCCCTCCAGCAGTCGTAGACGACCTTTTCCTTTAACAGGCGGGACGGCGTGACTGGATAGTAGGGGTGTCCCGGCAAACGGGTCGGTGCGTTTTCAGGTCATGGCAAGATACGAGTTCGGTTTAGTCAGCTTGTAAAAGGCGGTGACCACGGACTGACTTATGTGTGCACGGGACGGGACAAAATCCTCCGTCCTGCATTTGGGCACATAGCTGTCGAAAACGTAACGCCATTCACTTCAGTCACCGCCTCGTCACGGTCTGCTTTCACATGGCGAGGCTTTTTAAAGATTTTTATTTCTGTGCCTTTAATGGAGAGATAGGAGAGTGGAGAGAGTCAGAAATCAGGGAGAGAGAGAGAGAGAGAGAGAGAGAGAGGGGAACGACATGCGGGAAAGAAGCCACAGGTGGGAGGTGAACCCGGGCCGTCCGCTTGAGACGACAGCCTCCATACATGGGGCGCGCGCCCTAACCACTGCGCCACCAGCGCCCCCACATGGCGAGGCTTTTTAAAAAACGGCGAGTCACCTGTTCCCTGACGTCTCGCACCGGTGGTTGTTTCCACGCACATACCGCACGACTGTTGAACATCGCCGACACATCGCCCTCACTCGATCCACCGCTCGCGCTCCATCGCTGACGTCGTCTACGATGTTCCCCTCACAGCAGATTCAAACGGCGAGTATTCAAGCTTCCTGTGTGTCGTTTCAACCTGTTTAGTTGAGGTGCGTCGTCTTCTTCATGTGTTCTTTAATGGCGGGTGGCAAAGCGTTTTTCTCAGCCGCTGAAGCACGAAGGACACACACACACACACACACACACACACACACACCTTCGTGGCGTTCGTATCGTGATGGTTCGGGAGGAATACACAGACCGTCACACCCCTACTGGAGAGGGTTGGAGTGATGACACTTCACCTTAACCCCAGACGGTTACACACAACACACAGGTGAGGGCTGAGTGGTAGAACGTGACCATATTTGGAGGAGAGGGCGGAGCCAAAGAGGGGAAGTAATCAGCAAACACTAAAGCCTGATGTCCTGTAGAAAAGTCCTGCTGGAACATCAGCTCAGTCTGAGTGGATTTAGAACAAGAAACTTCACACACATGTTTTGAGGAGCTCTGAGATTTATTTAACCTGCAGAAGAAGAACAAGACGACATGTGACCTTTTATGGTCATATAGAGAGATTGTCTTCAGTCTTTAAATCCAGGATTCATTTACATTTTATAACAGTAAAGCCGGACTCAAATTGAAAATCTCCAAGGTATATTCTGCCGCGTTCAGACATCAGCTCACTCAGATATTCTGCAGATAAAATACTAGAGGTCTGGAGGAGAAACTCTAAAGGGTAAAGTCTGTGAAAAATGTGTCTGTTTGCGTTCACACAGCCTAAAGAACCTCCGGGTAGACCTAGTCTCTGGAGTTTTTCAGGAGATTTCCATATGTGTGAAAAGTGTTTATTATATGTTTGAAGTTTAAGATTTTTTAACTGCAGTTTTCTTTTTTAAATAAATCTCTTTCAGTCTAGCCAAGCACAGGGGGCGTGTCCAGAGGGGGGGGGTGTGTGAGGTGAGACTTAAGTTGAAATCAACTATTCATGCTGTTTTCAACACACTACTCAGTATTTTTTCCTTTCAGTTTGCTCTTTCCATAAAAAATCTCAGAAGCTCAAACTCGTGCACACAGTCTCACTTGAAATGGACTTCATCGCCAAATTTGACAGCATACAAGAGTTTGCAAAACATTTTCTAAGTATTTTAAATTGTGAATTTGAGCATCTAAAGAATCAAGCTAAGAAGAGTGATATGTAGCCAAATTACACAAGCTGGGCCACCCCGTCCAAAAAGTCTGGACACGCCCCTCGCCAAGCGGTTATGCTGTACTGCACATGTACAGATGGGATAGTCCTCATCAAAGTGATCGCAGGTTCAAATCCGACCTCGGCCCTTTGCTGCACGTCGTCCCACACTCTCTCTCCTCCCACCTTTTCCTGTCTCGCTTCATCTGTCCTATCAAAATAAAGGCAAAAAAAGGTGAGAGAGAAAAAAGGTGAGAGAGAGAGAGAGAAGCCACTAGGCTCCCTCTCTCTCTCTTTCTCGCTCTCTCTCTCTCATAAATAAACCTTTAAAAAAGTTTTCTTTGTTAGATCTCACACACAGTAGGACTCTGTCTGTGGTTCTGCTGAAGTCTTGGACACTGGCGCCATCTAGTGTTTAAAGAGTGTAAGTACCAGCCAGTGCTGTTCATGTCACTGTAGAGAGTCATTCACTCGTTCCCTACTCCCTATTCACTATTGTGAGTTTAATGCAGTGGACTATATCGTGCACTCACTCAGAAAAATTAAAAAACATTTCGGACACTACTCGCTCACTCACCGGCCGCTGACAGTGACGTCATTGTTGTCGCACAAATGAGCTTAGCAACGGTCGAGGATCAATAACAACGGTAAATAACAGCATGAATTTCAGTGATAGCTCATTATACTGAGTGTATTTTCATGAAACATTTACAAATAATAAATACTTAATTTATTGAATATGAAAAATATTGAATTTTACATAATGAGACATATTTTCAGACCAAAACTAAATTATTTATGCTCACAGACTCTGGTTTCTCGTCTGTCATCATCATTAGGACTAATATCACTAAAGTTGACGATCTTTTAATCTTTATTCAAACCGATCATAGATTTCAGTAAAACGCTCTGAATATGAACTTTATTGAGTTTCTGTGTTCATGCTGGTCTCTCCTCTCGTCCGTTTGAGAGCAGTCAAGTCAAACGCCACTCTCCGCTCGTAAAAACCTTTTGAACCGCAATGCATGATGGTATATATTGCTCGCATAGTGACCATCGCTCATACACTACTTTTCAAAATGCATTGTGGGATACATTGAGTGGACTATATAGGGTATGACCATGCTCACTCAGAATTCGGACAGCATGGCGTGTCCACTACATAGTGGATAGGGAGTGATTTCAGACACAGCCAAAGTCTCTAGAAATGGGATAATGTGGGAAACACAAAGATGGAAACTAAAAGAGAAGACACCTCTCAGAATAATAATCTGAAGCTGAAGTCTGTCCTCACCTGAGCTCTTCTTCCCCCCCTGGTGCACCCCATCCTGCACTCAGGATCAAACTAAACCTCACCCCTCCCTACCTCAAAGGACTGATCACCCCACAAATCTGCTCACTACACCTCCGACCCTGACACCTGCTCCCTCTGACCACCAGAGGGCGCCACATACTCCTCCTCAAAACATTACAGAGCTCAGATTGTTCTTATGCAGCTTTTACCTGTTTGATTTTCTGATGAGACTAAACTCTGGATGTTTAAAAACTCAAAGAAAAAAACTCTGAACCTTTGAGTGTGTATCATCTCATAAACACCTCGGATTCTTGATGCTCCGCTGTCATAAAGAAGCTAAAGCTGCTTTTCATTTCAGGAATCAGTCTAGAAAGAAGCGACTTGTTTCTTCTACTTTCACGCCCCTGATGAATTACAGTGATGTCATCTTCTCATTCTCTTTAAATCTTTGGATGGTGCGTTCAGGTTCATATCTAATCTCAGAGCCCTGACTCATCACTGTAGTCTGTATGATCCAGTCTTCTCGTAGATTAAATCACTGACATGTCCTGATGTATAAGTCCATACTGAACCTGATCCGCTCATGTGAATGGAGCTGGAAGCTTCAGTTTCCACTCTGAATCACGAAACATGTCCTTGTCATCTGTTCACAAAGTGCGTCTTGAAACGAGGAGGAGGAGTTTCAGGTCCGCTGCTCCTGCAGGATGATCTGTGTCTGAGGGAGCTGCTCTCTTTAGACGCTTTCACACATGCACTCCGGAAAATATCTCAATAATCAAAACGTCTGTTTTGGTGTGTGTGTCTCTTTAAATGCAATGACCCTGGTGTTTAAAATGGGTACTGCAGTCTAAATTCTAAACATCATAGAGAGCTGTCCCCCCCTCCTCTCTAGAGTGGATGCTCACTCAGGTCACCATGTGGTGGACTCTGAAGCTTCAGTGTTTATCCAGCTCTGCATGGGTCTGTAAACCTTTCTGTGTTCTAACCTCTCTCCATTTTTCAAAAGCATCTCCAATATTG